CGCGTGGTTCTCTTCCCTCAGGGCTGTGCATGGCTCTCCTTCTCAGGGCTACGCATGGTTCTCTCCTTCCTAAAGCAGCATGGTTCTCCTTCCTAAAACAGCACTGTTCTCCCTCCTCTCAGGGTTACGGGAGTCTTCATTCTGCTAAAGCTGTGTGGCTCTCTCTCCAGTGGCCGTGATCCTCTCTGCACCTCCACAGCCATATGGTTCTCTCTCTCTCTCAGGGCTGCGCATGGCTCTCCTTCCTAAAGCAGCATGGTTCTCTCTCTAATGGCCGCCAAGTCTGGGTTTTAAATCCCCGCGGCCACTCTTCCTCTGCAGCCTCATTTCCGACTCCTCCCACACTCAGCTTCACATGCCAGAACGCATATCCTTCCAGCTTTACTGGACTGCCATCTTGAGTCTGGGCAGGCGTGGCCCCATGTCATGGAGCCAATCCTCTCCGAGCTACAGCGCCTGCGTTGGCGCTGTAGCTCGGGGAACCTGCCCCCAGTCATGTCTTGGTGGGGAAGTTACTTCCATTCCCCTGGCTCAGAGATGATCACAGCTATTTAACATATCTAAGCAACCAGCCAAAGGCTATAGATATGTTAAATGACCACGCCAGAGGGTAGCTGCAAGGCTGTTGCTATGGAGCAGGGCAAAACAGCTCTCAATGGCCCTGCTCCATTTGTCACTTCTCCCAACCCACACCTTGGGGGGGGTGGGGGGGTGGGGATGGAGACATCTTAAAATCTCCTGGACACCTTAAGTTCTGGACCCCATTTCAAATGCCCATTTGGGGTCCCCCCTCTTGGCTGCACCCTGTAACACCTGCAAAGGCGTGGGCAGAGAGCATGAGGCAAGGACAAGTTATGTCTGGACCCTTGGTTGGTAGGGTGAACTAGCACATAAAAATGGTGCCACCTGTAGGCAACCTTTTATGCTCATCTGACCATCTGCCCACTGATGTTCCAATTGCTTATTTTACTCTGCTTCCCAAAGGTGTCTTAACAACCATCATGCCAATATATTGTCTTAAAAACAATGATAAAGAAAAATTAACTAGAGAATGTTTTGTCTACTCCCTCCATCATCCCTCTTAGCCACCAACTACTATCCCAGAAAATCCTAACATGTAAATGGGCAAGTCTAATAAGGGCCCTGATTTAATGTCCCAGAATGCAGGGACTAGAAAGAGCTACTGAAAGCCAGAAAAGATTATGCAAGAAGCTATGGCAAGTGACTTAATATTAACAAGGCTGACAATCGTCCTTCCCAAGGAAAATGATGGCTATTTCATAGGATTCCTCCTCTCCCCAATTCCAAGCACAAATAATTGCTTCAGGAAAAATAGACCAGAAATTGTTGGCATATTCTACTCCCAGGTAGCCTGCCTTCCCCCAGGCAGTGTTTCCAATCTCAGTGTGAGAGAATGGAGATGATAGAGTTCTTCCCTGGAGACAAAGAGGTATCATTTGCAAAGAAATGGAATAGGGTGGGAAAGGGATGCTAAGAATCAGCAGACTGTTCCCCAGCAGGGTTAACAAAAGTCAGGATTTCAAGGTTAAGGCAGGAGATAGACACAATGTTATAAATAGTGCCCCTTTAGGCACCAACACATTGATCATAAGAAGCCAAAGCCTAAGTAGAAGGCATAGTGGATGCCCATCAATGTCAGGCCCACTGGATTAACAAGCAGACAAACATGAAATGCAAGCCTCACAACCAGGCCCTGCCCTGGGTAATATCTCATTCACACACACATCATAGATCATATAGCAAGGGCAAAAGGTAAAAAACAGAGCAACGGCCAGCATCGGGGTAAGAAAGGAAGAGAGGAGGGAAGTTAGCATTAGCCAGGATCCATTGCCAGCTGCCCACTGGCTGCCAGGTCTTCAATAAGTTGGCAGACTCTTCTCGAGGGTCTTGGGTTCTCAAAATCACCCTGCTCACAGCCCTGGGATGAGCCGTGTCACAATGTTGGAAGACAACAAAAGTCACCTCACAATATGCTAGGCGCTGTGCTCTGTACTCTATGTATATTCCCTTATTTCACTATCCTGGAAGTTGGAAAAGGAGGTTTCATCTATCCTACTTTACAGGTGCAGAAGCCAGAGGTTAGAATTTATTGACTGGTCCAAGATCACACAGGTGATAAAGTTGGGGTTTGAACCCAGATATTTTCAGTTCCAAAGCTTATGTTTTAACCCAAATGCTGGTGCCTTGGTTCTTAGTATCACAAGTTGCCCGAGCCCTTGCCCTACCACCCTTCACGGCCGCTGGGCCAGGAACGTGACACTCCTTTCCCCTCCCATTTGTCACTAATTAGTGACCATGGGTCTTGCTGAGCCAGGATGCCACCACAGAACCCTGCTGAGAGAATGCTGCCAGCAGCTGCTGCCAACACACCTGAGGGCTGCGTGAGCAAACCAAATGGACACCCTTGGTTAGTTCAGTGTATCAAGCAAAGGTAAAGTCAGGAGTAGGGAGAAGAGTCCCCAGTAAGAAGAGAATACTAGTCAGCCCCTTTGTCACATGTGTCCTCTCTCCATTGCCACAGCTAAATGGTTTCTGGGTCAGGTGCTCCTCATTGCCCCTTGTTTATACTGTGGCCATGCTAGTCATGGCATACATCTGGGCATGACTCTCTCTAGCTCGGAGTCCTTCATAGGGTCCCCTCTGCCCTAAAGGATCAACAGAATCTTCCACAGCAAGAAACCTTTTCCAAAGGCCTTCATCCACCTTGGCCACCTCAGCTTACAGGATTCGGCTCAAGGACATGGGCGGGCACACACTGAACTATTGACATTGGACTTCTGCATTTGAGATTATAAAGGGAGAGAAGGGAAATTGCCAACTCTGTATTTATTCAGCTCTGACTGCTTTACTTACCATAAATATTTAACATGGTTTTAAAAGTTATGATAAAGTAAAAAATTAATAAACATATAAAGGTAAGAACAATGATACCTGATTTCAGATATCCCCTCCCTCCCCTCCTCATGTGGGTGAGACCCAGCATCCAGAAATCTCTGCTGCGCTGCTGCTGGCCCGGTTGCTCTTCACTTCCACGCTCCTTGAAAACAGAAATTTTCTTTTCCATTAATGAATCTGTAAATTGGTTGCCACATATTTATACGACTTGTTGAAAAAAATAAATGAATAAACAATAGCAAGAGTGTGAATGAATAGCGTTGTCCCAGAAGTTTTGTTTGCCATGTGGCCAGCATCCTCACCCGTGTTGACTGCGAGTCTGTGCAAGGGGTTCACCAAGACCAAGGAGAATTCTTCAGAAAAGAAAGATAATAATGTATATGTATAAGACTTATCAATGTCACCCAAAATGTAAGCCATAAGCTTATGCAGGACACATGACCCATATCTTGAATAAGTATACAGCACAGGGTGGTTTTTTTTTTAAATGTCTCAGACTTAACAAATACAATAACCAAGTACAGTGTGTCGGTCTTTTGTGGATCTTAACAAACCAACTCTAAAGAGACATTTCTGAGACAATTAGGGAAATGTGAACAATGATAGAGCGCTAGAGGATGTTAAGGGTTATTGTTAATTTTGTTAGGTATGATAATGGTATTGTAGTCATATAAAAAACTCCAGCCCTGGCTGGCATAGCTCAGTGGATTGAGCGCGGGCTGCGAACCAAAGTGTCGCAGGTTCGATTCCCAGTCAGGGTACATGCCTAGGTTGCAGGCCATGACCCCCAGCAACCACACAACTGATGTTTCTCTCTCTCTCTCTATCTCCCTCCCCTCCCTCTCTAAAAATAAATAAAAATAAAATCTTTAAAAAAAAACTCCATGCTGGATATGATTGAAATCGTGCCTGAAAATTACATTAAAGTAGTTCATCCTAAAAAAAATTGTGCAAAAATTAGCAGATAAAACAACATTAGGGGAATGTGTTGCTAATTGTTGAAGCTGATAAACATATAAAGTTCTTTATTCTGCACTCTCTTTGATGTTATTTTCAAAGATATTCACAATAAAAAATTTTAAAAATAAATTTGGTGAACTAATAAAAATATGTATGCATAGTTCATCAACTCTCTGCATTAGAATCATCTGTTATTCACTAAAATGCAGATTCCCAGCCTTCTCTGACCTGTTGAGGGCAGTGGCCTTTAAGTTGTGCTTGAACAAGCACCACCCCCACCCCCACTGGTGTGGCTCAGTGGATTGAGCACCGGCCTGTGAACCAAAGGGTCACTGGTTTGATTTCCAGTCAGGGAACATGCCTGGGTTGCAGGAAAGGTCCCCAGCAGGGGGCGCTCGAGAGGCAACCACACACTGGTGTTTCTCTCTCTCTCTTTCTTCCTCCGTACCCCTCTCTAAAAATAAATAAATAAATAAAATCTTTTGAAAAAGCACCACTTTCACAAATTGAGAATCTGGGAAGATGGCACTCCTGGAGTGGGCATAGCAGCTCCTTCCCACATACCTTGCTGTATGCATCTCTTCCATGTGGCTGTTCCTGAGTTGTACCTTTTACAATAAACTGGTAATCATAAGTAATGTGTTTCCCTGAGTTCTGCAAGCCATTATAGCAAATTATCGAAGCTGTGGAGGGCATCACAGGAACTTCAATTTATAGCAGGTTGGTCAGAGGTCTGTTCTTGTGATTGGTGTCTGACATGGGGTCAGTCTTGTAACACTGAGCCCTTAACCTGTGTCAGAATTGAATTGTGGGAAACCCACTTGGTGTCTGGAGACTTGGAAATGGGTTGGTATAGAAAAACTTTCCACATATTGGATGTCAGAAGTATCGAGACTTGAAAAAACTGTTTTTCTTCTAATGGCAATCCTTAGTTTACATGTCACTAGCCTGGAACTCCATAAAGGCAAGGATGATGTCTTATTTACCTCCTTCTGTCCAGTGCTGACACAGAATAGATGTTTGATAAGGTTGTTCAATAAATGAATAAACATACAAATTAAGTAATAAATGAGAGTCATTGTGCTGGGCAGCTCACAGACGTGTCTGTGCTTACCTAAAGTGTGATATGTCAGGGCAGATGCCGTGATCACAAAGGTGGTTTTCGCAGGGCAAGCCTTACCCACCGCACTCCGGATGTGCTGACTCCTGTGATCTCCCCAAATGTGGGAAACTCAGCAGCATAATTTGTGGTAGTGGAGGATCAGGAAGAGGGTGGGGGAAAGCCTTTCCATATCGTCATCATGGAAAAGGTTGGGCAGACTTGTTTAGGATGACTGGTGTGAAATCTGGGTAAAACATGGAGAAAATGTGATATAATGTTGGGGAAAAAAGAATTTCAAGAAGTATACGTACACTAATATTATAAAGAACATTTATGTATATTATTTTTTGAGAACAAAACCAAAAAGTAATATGTAAAAAAAAAAGGTGAAATAGTGGGATTCTAGGTGATTGTATTTGTAATTCTATTTTCCATATATTCTGTTATTTTTTATCAATAAGGAAGAAGAAGAGGGAAAAACAGAACTTGGAAATTGTCTTAATCTGGTGGTCACCTGTATAATAGTAACTCCAGCACCACACGGCCCCTCCCAAAGCCCTCACCAACCCCAACAGGGGAGAAAAAGCCTCCAGTGCTGACTCTGACACTGGGCACAGAGGAGGCAGATGAAGACAAATCATTTTTTGCATGTAACCCATAGGCTTCAGTCTGGTCAAGTCTAGCAAGGCCTCCAGGCCCTAAGACACTTACATGTCCTGCATGCCAGACAGATCTGTGTATATAGAGGTATTTAAAAGAACAAAGAGCTTAAATAGCCACTTTGCTTTGTACCTAGAGCATCTCAGGCCTTCAGATCACCCTGAAAAGAGCCTACTCAAGTATTAACAGATATCAATCTCATAAATTGTGCAGCAAGCACCCTTATTTTCTTCTCAATCTATTTCACTTGCCACGTCTCCCAGGGGCAGGCTGGAAAATATGTGGTAATTATATATTGATAGAACGTGGGAGCAGGTTGTATACAAACCCACATACTTGGCTTCCTTATTAACCAGCTAAAATGTGCTCTGTGGAATCCTTCTTTGCTCTTTAAGGAATCTCCAGAATTGAGCTATTAATTTGCTGTGTATGATTTACCCCTTGCTCACAAAAATTGCCAGAACTCATGTGGACAAAGAGGAGATGGGGCTTTAACGTACAACCCCCGAGTCATCTTCCTTGGTAGGGCTCCCATCTGAAACCTGCGACTTTTCCCACGTAAGGCACACAACTTCCTGGGCTGGCTTCCTGGTCTCCTGCACCAACTAATTTGGAAGAGTTAGTCATCATGAAAAGTACTTATTAGGAAAGCATCATTGGGCTATTTTTGTGGGCCCTCAGAGAAATAAATTACTTTTTATTTTTTAAGGAACATGGCAAGCTATGGGTTTAACAGTAGGTTTTTCTCACAAAACCTAATGATAATAGCTCCCAGTGAAGAAACCTCAGAAAATTGGGAATGGGCACTTCCGGGAACTTGAATGATCCTCATTTGATCTGCCTAAAAGGTTTAAGCAAAGGGAGCAGGTGGGGAGGTCTCATGTCAAAGACATTTAGGTGAAGGGCAGTGTGGAAAGCAAATGCTGACCCACGGTACTTAGGAGCTGCTGCCCAGGTGACCTAAACAGCTGACCTAATGGATGGTCATAGTGGGTGATCTAAATGGACCTCAGGACTAAGAGAAATGTGAGCAGGCCATGTAATTCAACATATTGAGGGTGCGGCCAGACTACACCAAGGTGGTCCTGTCACTCAGCATTTCCTATGGGTGTGATGGCACCCACCTCCAGCTGGGAGCTGACTCTCCCAGCTGCCCTGATCGCAGCCTCCTCTATGGAAATGTGCTGAGCAGCAGGCTGCTGAACACAGGTCTTGAAACCAGGGTTCTCCCACCAGCTCTGTGGCTGGACTAACAGTCTAGTCTTCCACAGCATTTGACTCTCTGTACCCTTTCCAATCAGAAAATAAAAAGCAGGGAGACAGCTGTGACAATGGACCACATACGTGAAAAGAACCCACCCAAACCAGCAGTTTTCCTCTTAGCCTGGTCTTATCTGTCTACAGAGCTCTTTTGACAAAAGATATCCCAAGATGGCTGGGCCAAATGGCCATACAGGGGAACTGGCTCCTGTCAGGTACACCTGAAAAGGGAACAAGGAAATAGAACTCATTCTTGAAGGTGAGACTGTTGATTAAAAATGCAAGCTCAGAAATCATCATCTAACTTATTAAATACAAACTCCCCCCCCCAAAAAAAAACCCTCAGCCAGTGTAACTGCAGCAATAAAGTGATTAAGAAAGCATACTCCTCTAAAATGAAACCACCAATACTGTAATATCCAGTTAAATTTAATTACTGCCTAATTTCCTTCACAATAGATGACCTAGTTTTTGGACAATATTCTCAGAAAAGAGATTACATGTGGGTGTAAAACGTGGTCTATCTTGGAGAAGCAGAGAGACCATTCACCTAATCCATCCAGATATGAATGTATGAAGGCAAAAGGATAAGATACAGCCCCAGTGAACACCCTCTGTTCTTACACAAAGGCCAAAGCCGCAATCAGTCCAATGTTTCTGCCTCTAACAAAAAGCAGTTCCATGGACACCTGTGAGCTGTTTGTCAGACCTGCTGACTGACTTCCAGAGGGCAGGCTTGGACATTTGTATGAAGAGCCAGCCTGTGCATCTGCCCCACCACCTCTGTGTGTGCAGACCTGACCCACGCCCCAGCCCCCAGCCCCCAGCCCCCTAGGACAAGGATGGCGCACTAGCACAGAGCAGCTTGAGGACAAGCAAGGGGACCTGTGGGTGGGACTGGGTGTGGGAGAGACGAGGAGCAATAGACAAGGCTGCTGCTGAGCCCAGGTGGGTGGGTGCTGACTGGGGTGTTCGCACCCATTCCTGTGGCTTTGTAGTGACACTCAGAGGTTGACACAGGCCAGTGACAAGTCCAGATGTGTTTTTAAAACTATTGCACTGAAATGATATGCTGTTTTCGAATTACAAAATATAAAACTTTGCTGCTCAAGCAAATTATGAAAACAAAAAGGGGAATTGCTTTTAAAAATGGTTAATTATTGATAATGGTTAAAGGTAGGTGATGGTATATGGGAGTTCACTACACTATTCACTCTACTTTCATCTAAGTTTGAAATTTTCTGTAATAGAAATATTTTAATAACAAATTATTTTAAGAATATCAGAAGCATTTATGTTCAATTCCTTACAAAAATTCTTTAGAACTATTATATATCCTAATTCATTAGCCAAAAATAAATGGGAGTATGCTTGGATACTTTATCCACATTTATAAAATATCACTGCACTGCGGAGTGGAGAGTAAATTGGAAGGAAGGAGAAAGGAGACAGGAATCCATTAGGAGGCTGAGCAGAGACCCAGGTGAGGGATGGTGGTGGCCTGTACTGACACAGGGATGGAGCGGAGGAAGGGGTGGGTTTAAACGGTTCAGGAGGCAAAATGGCCAGGCCCCACTGGAGTGAGTATGTGGAATGATTGACTCCACATAAATGAACCATGCATTCAATCACTCCCTCCGTAAAGATTCAGAGCCACCCTCTCTGCCCACAGGACTGCCAGGGACTGTGGGAGGATGAAAAGGCAGGTACGACACGAGGCCAGGCCTCAGCACAGCTCTCTCTGACAGGAATAAGATGAAATAAGCTAAAAGGGCAAAACCACTTTTGAAGAAGGAAAAAGGAAAAGCCGTAAGTAAACATTAGCTTAAAGCATGCGATACTAGTAAAACCGAAAAGTGCTGGAAGATAAATTTGATGAGTTGAACAGTGCACACTTAAAATGTTAGATCTATAAAAGATAAAATAAACAGATTATATCATAAAAGCAGATAATATAATAAAAACTACAGATAAAAAGGCAAAAGTAAATAATATTACCTAGTAGAACACATTAAAAAGATTAAATCGTAAAATGAAATTATCAAGGCTGCATAAATTTTGTTAAAAGCACACCCTAACTAAAGGGTAACAGAGAAATACTGACTACCATACACACGTCAGCACACAACTAAGCCGCCGGGCCCCCTAGTGAACCTCACTTCCCATCGCCACTGTGAAGCACTCTGTGCCCAGCCATACAAAGTACTTGCCATTCCCCAAATCTGCCATGGTTTCTTTAAATGACTCAATTGTCCAACAAGGATGAATTCCACAGCAGAGGGTCCCAGCCCCATGGTGGCTTCTTTCGGCCTGCCTCTCATTAGAGGGACCTGGGGCTCTTGTCTTTCGTACGGACATTGTCAACTCTTCCTAAAAGGCACATAAAGTAACAGCAGAGATGCCCTCCTGCAGCGTCCACTGCAATAAGGCAAGGATAGAGAAATGACTTCTGCACCAATGATCAAGGAGGGCTTAACAAAGAAGGGTTTGAGTCAAGGCTTGGACAGTGGCTACGCTATGTGGATGGAGGGAGAACAGAACAGGGTCCCTGGAAAGGAAATAGGATGGGGGCTAACATACAGAGAGACACTTGCAGCCCTCCACCACAAAGGCTGTCCTTCCCTCCAAGTCCCCAGCAGAAGGTGGTTTGTCCAGTTTGTAACACGTTCCTTAAACTCAACACTAAGAACTTCGCAGGAGCTGCTGAGAAGTCATAAGGCAGGGCCACAGATCTTGTACCAAAATCGTATCTTCCTTTATGATGCAGAGACCAGCCTCTGGCCTTTCAGCATGCTCTCCAGCACTCGGCTACTGTGGGCAGCCCCTGCATTTGCATTTTGGACAGCCCTAAGTGTGACAAACCATCACACTCTGTGCTCTGAAAGAACGTAGCAATTCTAACTGCTTCTTCCATTAGGCAGTCCCTGTGAAGTTTAAATAGACAGTGACAGTTGACAGCATTATACTCCTTAGCAAGGGTTTGCCTAACCTCTTGTATGAGCCAGTTTCCAGGTCTCAGAGCCATTTGGATTATGTAAATCAGTACATATACTTATCACTACCAGGACAATTGCTGGCCTTTTATTTTTTCAATTCCAGACAGAGCAGGGACCTTCTTTGGCTAAATTTAGAGAAGTGTGGATGGAGGTTCACTGGCTGTCCAACCTTGCATAGTTCTGGAAGAAGATACGAGAATGAAATTGTTCCTGTCTGTTCCCACTGAGATGCCAATAGCACAGACACCAGGTAGCAAAGTGAGTGTAGGAC